GGTTGGGGGTGAGACGGAATGAGGCCTCAACGGGGTGTGGAGTGCAGGTAAAGGGACCAAACTGGACCTAGGGGCCTGGTTGAGCGGAGTCTCACTGGGCGGGGCCGGACCTGGTCTAGAGGTGGGAGCAGGCCGAGGGCCTCATTGGCTAGGGCGGGGCCTCTCCTGGATGTAGGGGCGGGACAAGGGCCTGTTGAGGAGGGGAGCGGCAGGAGGCTCACCTGGGTGCGGGCCGCCTCCCCTGCGCGCTGGAAGGTCCATTCCACTCGTGCCTGCAGCGAGCGGGGCTCACACTCCAGGAAGGCGCTGCCGCCTTCCACACCGAACACCTTCCGCTCCAGCAGTGTGGGACGGGACGAGTCTGGGGAGGGCAAGGAATTTGTCAGAGTCAGGCAGGGCAGGGCAGGATGGGGCGTCCTCAAAGGCCGAGAAGTGGGGGCAGCTGGGGCACTCACCCCCTGAGCACAGCGTACTAGGGTCGCCGTTCTTCACGTCTTGCCGCCGAAACCGCCTGCGGGGAGGTGGGGGGGCAACATGGAATTTCCATGAGCCCTTCTTCGCTTAGCCGGTGCGGCAAAGGACTCCGGGTGGCCCGCCCCCGACCCTGCCCACCTTTTAGCGCTGGGCTGGAAGCGCGTGCACGCGGCCCCGTCCCAGGCGCAGTAAGGGTCACGTGCCAGGCAGCATTCGGCGCAGGCGCGGCCGTGGGCAGCACAGCGGTGCAAGGGGATCTGGGCCACCGCGCTCCGTGAGGCTACGTACAGCTGGTGCTAGGGGGCACGAGGGGCTCCGGGCTGACCAAAGGCAGCCCTGTGCCCGCCTCCCATGGGCAGAGATCCCTTACCCCACTTGACAGATGGGAACACTGAGGTCTCAGGTCACGCAGTCTAGCGAAGGCAGAACCTATACTCAAACCCGGGGCTTCGAACTACCAAGGGAGGCGTGGGGGTGGGGCACCCGGGGAACGCACTGGGTCCCTTTTATCCCCAAGCCTTCTGGTCACTTACTCTCTTGGAAGAGATTTGCATGCTGGTGATAGCAGCTGAGTCCTGAGAGGGAGGAGGAGTGCTGGGATCAGGGATCAGTGGGGTGGGGTTACTCCAGGGAGGCGGGTGGGGCGGGGGGAGCTAGGCCTCACCTCAAACACGTGCAGCTCCTCCAAGAGCAGCCCCTCCCCGTTAGGCTGGCTGCCCTTGGGGACCGAGATCACCTTCAGCACTGTGCCAACATCTGCAAGGATGAGAAGGAGTGAGTGACTCCTTGCGTTCCCTGATAGCTAGGGCTGGGGGTGTCCTCACTTCTGAGGCCTTTACCCTCAGCATGGTTGGGTGGGTGAAGAATGTGGGTTGGAACAATAAGAGCAGCATCCAGAAGGAGATGGGGGCATAACCCAGGCAAAGATGTGGAGGTGAGACTGGACAGGGGCAGCTTCTAGTAACCGGCCAGAGTCTAGACTGGGTTTAATGGGTGATCATGGCAGGACACTGACCTGTGCCAATGAAGAGGACGTCGTAGTGTCCGTCAGCAGCTGCCACATGGTCTGCAGTGATCCGGGTGAAGGTGTACCCGGCACCCACTTGTAGGAAGAGAGGGCGCCCACCCAAGGGCAGGACCGAATTGTACATGAGGGGGTGGTTCCGGGCAAACTGAATGACGTCATCAGGAAAGTCCTTGGTAGAACTGAAGGTGCCAAAGGTCTTGCTGGGGCACTGAGCGGTGGGGAGGAGGCGCGACAGGGATGTGGGTATGAGGGTCTGGTGGGCCCACAAGAGACCTCCAGGAACTGGGAGTGTGTGGGGGAGCTAACGGACAGAGCCTTGCCCTGGGAATCTGAAGGGAGAAGACCCAGCCTTGCCCTTGGGAGTCTTAGGCGGAAATGTGGCCTTTCTTTTAGAAGCCCTGCCTGATGAAGGTGATGTTTATCTACCCAAGGATAACAAACAAGAGGAAGAAACCACATTCACCAAGAAGGTCCCAGGCCAAGTTCTCCACCCCTGAGACTTTAAGTGGGTTGTGGTGGGAATCCTGGGGCTACGCACCATGCCTGGCCGGGGGTAGGGGACACGGCCCTGATAGGACACCCACTGGTGCAGGGGCCCTTCCTTGTGTGCAAAGGGCCCCAGGAAGGCACGGCGCACATCGTTCATGCTGTACACGCACACTGCAGAGCCTCGCAAGACGGTGCTGTAGGCGAAGGCATGAGCAGAGTGAGGGGCCCCGCAGAGCCGGCCAGCCCCGCCCGTGACTTCGTGCCCCTCACCTGGATGTGGAGAAGGCGGCATAGAGCAGCGGGCTCCAGCGGTCCCTCAAGGACAGCAGGAACACATCCTCTGTGGGGAAGGGGCCTAGTTGGGGGAGGGCACACAGCCCTCCGGGAGGCCGGGCTCCTGGGTCTGGGCCCCTGCGCTCCCTCTCCCCAACTCCACCCTCCACTCTGGGCACTCACGGAGCTGGTCGAAGTGCGTGTCACCCTCGACACCTGGCACAGAGCACACCAGACGCGCCTTCAGGAACGTGGTCCACTTGTTGACCAGGCTGCGCTGGCCGCCCACGTCATTCTGCAGGGTCACACAGAGGGCATGAGGCGGAGGCCCAGAGAGGCAAAAGGGCAGGGGCGCGATCACCGGATGTGGCCCAGGGACTCCTCACCCGACAGATCTGGCCAACACGGGACACAGACAGGCGTCCCAGCGCTGGTGCAGCCTCCACTGCCGACTCCCGGAAGAAGAAGTAGACCTTGTCATCGTCGGGATTCTCGCTCTCTGGGATCCAAAAGACCTTGACAAACTTGGGCTCTAGCGGCAGGAGGTGTGAGGTCAGCAAGGTCCTGGCCCTGCACTCGTGGGACCCATACGCTCCCTCTCCTAACTCTGGTGCCCCCAGAAGCCTGTGGGGCGGCATCTGAGCACCCAGTCTCTAGGACCAAGTTCATTGGGATGGATGGCACTGCATGCGGACAGGATCCGGAGGATCAGGACCTGTGAGTCAAGAAGCAGCCACGAGAGGGCAGCAGAGACCGAGACTACCTGGACAGCAAGCCTCTGCCCTGGCCCCTGACAGCTCCCCAGGCCAGTGGGCCAAGAAAGGAGGGAGATGGCGGATCAGTTGTACCCGCACTCATGAATCTTCCTATTGAGCAGGAAGCAGATGCCCCCATTCTGCTCGGTCCCCTCACTCTTAGAACAAATGACTTGGACCCTGACAGCGCAGACCCCTTCTCCTTTCTCCTCTCATGGGTCTGTCTGTTCCTTGGCTTCTTCCTACCCGGGGTTCTTTGCACTGGTTGTCCTTTCCCTCAATCCTGCTGTGCTTTGGGAATTAGCTCACCCCCTCTCGTCAGCAGAGGGGCTTCCTCTCTTGTTCTCCCACCTGGTCTCCTTTTCCCTTTCTGTCTGTGCACTCACCAGTCTCACGGCCATTGGAACCGATCTTATGATGTATTTGTTCTGAGTTCTGTGAACTCAAAGAGGGTGCGGGCCACACATCTTGTCTGCCCTGCAACCCCATTACCTGGCACAGGACTGGACGCATGGTAGGTACAGTGAGACCCGGCTGCACCCACTGCTCACTTCTGTTATGGGCCTTACTCGGCACCTACCCTGTTGGGGATGAGGGCCCCTCCCAAAAGCCCCACCAGCCTCTCACCGTTGAGCCAGCGGGAGTCGTGTGGTTCTGTCCGGAGACTTGGACGCTGGCCCAGGCTGCGGAAGATGGTGAAGTCCCGGCCCATGAGGTCTGCAGCCACCCCTGAGTACAGTTCTTCTCCTGCAGACAGGGCGAGCGCTGTTCAGCCAATCTGAAGGCTCTCGGTGGGGTTGGGGGGTGCTTGGAGAGCTCTGGGAGCTCCTTGGGAGTCAGTGAGGCCATGGGGGATCCCTGGGGCTCTCAGGAGGGTCGAGAGTCTCTGAGGGGCCCTAGCCTTCGGACTCACCCACCAGCACGGAGGCAGCCCGATGCCTCGGGTCATAAGGACTCTTGCCCTTGCCGTCCTCTAGGCTTCGAAGGTCCAGCCGGAGTATGGGCTCCTGGGAGGCAGGGGGCAGTTGTTCTTTTCAGGCCCTTCTTCACCTCCCAGCCTCCCTCTCTGCCCAGATCTGGCCTTACCTCCAGCCGGTGGCCCACCTCCACAAATGCACAGGTTGGGTGGAAGGCCCCTGTGCCACAGGCCAGCAAGTGGGTGCGGTTGTAGGCGTGCAGCAACTTCACGAAGTTCATGCACTCAGTCTAGTGGGCGGGCAGGGCCAGGGACAATGAGGCCTCCCCCAGGGAGGCAGGCTTAAGGGGTCCCAGCTCACCAGTGGCACCTCACCCCTTCCTCTCTTCTGCGTCAGTCCAGGCAAGCACCAACATGGGCCGCAGCGACCTGCGTGCCCTTGGTGACCAGCCCAGCCCACCTCTCACCAGAAGGGGTGCATGGAAAAGCATAGGCCTGTACTGCCCCCTATGACTCAGAGGTCCCCAAGAAGAATCACATGAGCCTCCACCCTGAGTCACTACCTCCAAACTTCAGCCACCTCGACCCCCTGCCCCCATCCCAGCCAGAACAGGCAGGCCTCTGTCTTAGTGCTGCTGTCTTGTAAAGCGCGAGGGGCTGGCCTCCCCACTCCCACCCCCGGCAGCCGGCACTCACACCAATGTCCTTCCCCGCCCAGTTGCACTCCTCTCGCCATTCCACGGGGGCCGGCCAGGCCAGCTGCAAGGAGGTCAGGGGGAAGGGGACACAGGTCAGGGCCTTTGCATGTCTCTGGGCAGAGGGTGTCTTCTCAGGGGGCCCATCCCCCTGTGTCTCTCCAAGCAGTCTGGAGTGGGGTCCTGGGGCTCTTTCCCTAGGAAACACCGAGGCTGGGGGTCCCTGGCACCTTCTTGGCCCGCTTGCTGATATTGTCCAGGCTGAGGGAGGCCACATGGTTCTCGGCGCCCACAAACAGGCGTCCTCTTTCCTCATCCACCAGCAAAGCTTCGTAACAGCAGGTCCTCTCTAGCCTGAAGGTCCGGAGACCATGCCGGGCCTGGAGCTCTGCAGGGTAGGGACACCACTGAGGATTTGCCAGCCATGCTGGAAGCTTCCCCGAGACCCTGCCTGTCACTCTCACAGGTCATGGTTGTACATGTGACCTGGCCCACACACATGTGAGTTTACACGTGTGTGAGTTTACACTCGTGAAGACAGGCCCACCCATGTGTGAAGCTTCCATGGTGGGCAGTGCAGCAACCCCCCAAGGGGAAAGCAGGTTGAACTCCTCGGGCAAGCTTGGACAAGCAGTGTCTGCAGGCGGGCGCATAGGGAGGCCAGGGTGCCGGGGGAGGCCAGGGTGCCAGGGGAGGCCGAGCATGTCTGGAAAGCCAGAACTGCAAACCCAAAGTCGGGCTGAGGGTTCTCTGCCACCAGCCTGAGCTCAGTGAGATGCCACTGCCTAGTGACCGGTGACCGCCCTCCCGCGTAGGGGCGTGGGAAGGGGGCTCTGGCGGGCACCACACCTCAGCTTCCCTGGGGGTGGGTCGTGGATGGGACACAGGCAGGATCTGTTGCCGTGGGAACGGAAGGGGTCTTCCTGGGAAAGCAAGAGGAGAATGTGCGCGCAGAAAGTTTGGGGGCTGAGGCCAGGACAGGGTTAACTGGAGATGGCCTGAGAGTGCCCCCAGTCACACCCGGGCCAGTGGCACAGGGCAACAGCAAACGCAGTGCCCCCTACCCACACTGGGCCCCTCTCCTGCCCACCCTGAGCTGAGCCCTCCCGCCTGCCAGGTGCACCTACCTTGGAAGGAGAGCCGAAGGCGCGGGGGGCTGGGGCTAGCATCCCCCAGCACTGCCGCCCAGAGCAGGGCCAGGCCCAGGATCATGGCGGCCGCCCCGGCCCACCCCATCCTGGCGGCTCAGGGTGCTCCGGGTTCAGCGGGCGCGTGTGGAGGAGCCTTGAGCCGCCCTGGACTCTGCCCCAGGATCTGGAAGAGAAGGAGCTGCAGCAAGGACGAGGGCGGGAGGCTGGGGGGGGGGAGTCCCCAGGGATCAGATTACAGCCCCTAGGGGAAAGAGGCTGGGGGGTCGCATTCCACTTCCGAGCTCTCCCCTCCCTCAGAGTGTGCCCTGCCTGGCCACAATCACAGACACACCCACGCTGGGCACACCCTCGGGGTCACCCCCACACTGGCAGGCACCCGCCCCACCACGTCACCCTCCCCAAGAACCCCCCCCCCACACACACACACAGGCATTAATTCACAAACTCTATGCGCCTACCCCACGCCAGCCTGGGACACAGGGGGACACAGACAAGGTCCCCATGCAGGAGGGGGCAGAATGCCAACAAGGACTCAGATCAGTGCAGTCATTTCAGAGGGCGCCCTGTGCGATGAGCAAAACAAGCCAGTCCTGGGAGTGAGAGCGGCCGGAGGGAGTCAGGCCTCGGTGGTGGCTGTGGACCCAGGGCCTACAGAGAAACAGAGGCACCTTTGGGGCTGGAGATGGGGCCAATGGTGTGGGCGCCTGTGAGTTTGAGTGTTCCTGAGGGTCGCTTTGTGTGCGTGCGTGCATGTGTGTGTGCGTGTGTGTGTATGCAGACAGGTGTGTCCATGCCTGTGACCGCGTGTGGCACGAGCGTTGTATTACACGTGTAGGTACATGGCATGCGTGTGCACTTTGCGTACGTGTGTACATGTGTGTCATACACGTGTGCGTGTGCAATTGTGTGCACGCGCACGTGTATGCGTCTCTCTGGACATGCAGGTGAGCAAATACAACCACAGCGGCAATCACTGCCTTCAACTCTGAGACGCGCCTGAAAGCCCCTCCTCCGAGGAAGAAGTGTGTGCAGGAGCCCCAAGGCTTGTACCCCCGCCCCGGGCTGGACGGAAGCCTCCGCTTCTGCCTTGGAGGTGGCTCCCACTCGGATATAGCAGCCCCAGCTTCGTGCTTGACCTCTCTCTCCCCACCCAAGCCTGGAAGGGGCTGGTTACGCAGAAATTCTGTGAGCTCAGACTTCAGACCCAAGAGGAATCAAGTGGGGGGAGAGCCAGGGGTCTCAGGCAGCCTCTCTACCACACTGCAGGTGAGCTGCCCGTCCCTCTCTCAGCCTCCCCCGCCTCCGCGCCTCTCCCTCCCCTGCCTTCGCCCTCAGCCTTCCCCATCTTTGAGCCCCTCCACCTCTGCGCCAGAGCCCTTCCCCTGAACCCCTTCCGTGGAGCCAGCATCTGGCCGCAATGCCCATCGTCCTTCCCAGAGCTGGCTGGGCAGGTGCTGGGCACGGGAGCCCTGGCGTGGGGCAAGGTCCTGGGGTGCCGTCAAGCAAGGGGCACAACTGCCAAGGCACGCTTCAGATCGCTCCCCACCCCCAAGCCCCTACCCAGTTCCGCAGCTCCCGGACCCCTCCCAGGCTAGGACTCCCACCTCCCGCCGTCCCTCCACTGACACTTGCCACTGCTTCCGAGCCCGTGAGCTCTGCGATGCCACAGAAACCCGGCTGCCTTCCCACGCTCCACCAGAACTCCGGCGGCAGTGCCTCTCCACCCCAGCCCCACCCGCCCTGGAGGAGGGGAGAAGCCTGGGGACCGCGGGGCACCCTCTGACGGCTCCTTTAAGGAGCAGCCCCCGCCTCCACCAAGCCGGCCGCCGCCCCACACGCCGTCCAGTTTACGGGGTGGATCGGGTGACCAGGCAGGCAGCCTGGGTCAGCAGAGTTGGTGGCCCGGCCAGAGTGGAGCGGGCACAAGGGAGGGGCGACCCCTTCCCTGTCAGGCCTCAGGGCAATAGGATGCGCCCAACAGCGGTCCAGCCCAGCCCAGGGCGGCCAGGCAAGGCGCAGGAAGAAGAAGAAGCCATGGGCGCCTGGGTGGCTCAGTCGGTTGAGTGACTGCCTTCGGCTCGGGTCATGATCCTGGAGTCCCGGGATCGAGTCCCGCATCGGGCTCCCTGCTCAGCGGGGGGTCTGCTTCTCCCTCTGACC